CGCTATAATCTCTGGCCAGTTTGTCCGCGTGTTCGGTCAACTGCACTCGTTTGATGACCGTTTCGATGGCCAACTCTTCCTCTTTGACGCCACGGAGTCGGGCGTAAAACTTGAGGTGTTCTCTGGCCGTCAGCTCATCGAATAGGGCGTCAAACTGTGGACAGTAACCAATGTTCGCTTGGGCTCGATGTAGGTCTTCGCGGACAGAGTAGTGATTAATGATGGCATCGCCCGCCGATATCGGTATATCGCCGGTCAGCATCTTAAACGTGGTCGACTTCCCCGCCCCGTTCACACCCAACAGACCGAAACACTCGCCCCGCGTCACGTCCAGACACAGCCGATTCACGGCCAGATGTTTTTGCGGCTTTTTGAACACTTTGGTCAACTCCTTCAGTCGCAACACATTGTCGCTGTCGTTGTCGGTGGACAACACCCGCAGCCGTTCCTGAGCCACGTCTTCGTCTTCGCCCGACGGGTCTGACGTGCGGTACGGGTTGTCCGGCGTTCGGCGGCGAAGACCCAGCAGTTGAAACAGATTGTACTCACATAACAGTGTGATCAGGAAGAAGGCAAACCCCGAGCACAGCATCGCCACCAGATTACGGGTCACCAGTTCCCACGCGAATGGCGACCGCATCTTCGAGTACTCCCCTATTATATAAGGTTTTGAGTTAAATATAAACCTGTTTTCTCACATACAATACCCCCATCCCTGACCCTCTATATCCCACACATACCTGTCTTCGAGTAGATGTAGTTCTGGTATTCGTTGAACGCGATGTCCATAAGACCTCTGCCGAGACAATAGTTGGGAAACATTAGGAAAACCACTTTCAGTATGCGATGAATGTATGCCAATATCTGGAGTAATTAAACAAATCAAAGCAAACAAATCAATGAATGGATCAATTGATGGATCGGTTGGGACTCTCGCGATGACTGACCGGAACGTAAACACTGGACGAGAAGAGAAAGGCCTCCAATAGGAAAGATGTGACAATACAAGTGATGCCCACAAACAGATTGATGACAATGAGGCAGATATAGGCAG